TACCTCCTCCTTTTCTCCTCCGCCTCCGCACTTTCCCCTCCCCCTGCGTACCCTCCCATATTCCTCCTCCGTACCCTCCCCCCCTCCTCTTCCGTACCCTCTCCTCCTCCCATAGTTTCCCTGCTAAATTTTGCTGAAAAACTGACGTCACGTGACCTCAACAGCAATTCAATTGCCTGCTGAATTGAATTGCTGTTGAGGTCACGTGACGCCAATTTTCCTTCTAAATTTAGCGGAAAAACTGAATTTGTTCATAGGTGGCGTCACACTAAGTCATGTGACGTCGTTTTCCCCACTAAATTAAACGGGGAATTAAATTGGTGTTAAGTTCACGTGACGTCAATTTTTCCGCTAAATTTAGCGCTGTTGCCCCGACGCCGACGCCGCGAAACCCGAAGACAGGCGTCTATACTTCGTTTCAGCTTCGGTCCGAGCGCGGCCGATGTTAAGAGCCGAAGGGCCAATCAAGCAGCCAAAGAGAGACAACGTCATGGCGTGCTCTCTGCAGTTGATAGGACCAGCCGGTATTCGCCGCGTCTCTGCGCGCTCCTCTGCCGGTTAGTCCTATCCTGCGCAGAGAGCACACCATTACGTTGTGCCTCTTCTCTGTTTGATAGGCTCTTCGGCTCATAACATCGGCCGCGCTCGGACCGAAGCTGAAACGAAGTATAAGAGTTGCGCTCTAAAACGCGCTGTCACGGAGTACCTTGCGCGTTCGGTTGGGTGAGTCGGATACAACATGCTCAAACAAAGAAGCTGTTGTTGTTAGCGTTGTAGGTTGGAAGAAAGAAAATAGACGCAATAGTATGGGTGGGGTCATAGGCCAGTCTGTCACTGCCTCGAAGAAAAAACGATGAAAGCGGTGACGTAGCGCTTTGAACATTACTTGTTCGGTGAAATGGGCTTGTAGTGTCCACTACGCTCTGACAGAATAGGCCTTCCTCTTCCATCCTTAGCCTCTGTGAACACTCTCATCTTTATGTTTGCTCTCTCGCACCCCGCGCGTCGACGGTAGCGCCGCCTCGATAGCTTCAAGACAGTAAGCGGCAGTCTCTAAAGTATGGCATTACTTTTCTGTTTATATGGTCTTTAACCTTTTTCGTTTCGTTAAGTCTCGTCCCTGGATTTATTCTTGCTGCGGCGACGGTAATGGCGGCGCTATGATCGCAAAAAGCTCGACGCTGCATGAAATTAATAGGGAAAATAAGTCCTTTTTTGCCTCAATTGGTGATTAGTGTAATATAGATTCTGCCTTCTTTCGCTTACTGTAAATAATCGCATCAAATAAAATTAAAATAAACGCTATGTGTAACTTTAGTCCCTGACATGAGTGTCCTGTCATCCTTGATCACGAGCTTATTTCCGAAGATATTTGTTTGTACCTTCTTCAACAGCCTAACAATTAATATTTTTTTATTATTACAAATGTGTACGCCACACATTTTATCATTCTGACGTAAAGTGGGCATCACGATTGTCAAGGACAAGAATATGATTGTTCCAATTCACGAGCGAAATGTTCCACAATAAAACTTCCCGGTAGAGGTCCTAATGAGCCAGTTACAGAAATCCAATCGCTGAGATTAGCAAATAATAAATCATAATAAACGTTTGAATCCGGAACTTTGATTTTGAGCTGGACATGGAGATGAAAATTTAGTTTTGCGCATCGAAAAATGCCGGTGTGACCTCGTAAATTTGGTATAATCGTGGCGCAAGTATTACAGTAAACTAGAAAGAGCTGGTCGAATTAGTGGCCTACAATTGTCTTAATCAACAAATTGGATCCGCCATGTGGCGCAGAGGAGGAACTGCCCCTTCTGAACCTCAGTTCTCAGTCTCATATTGTACTACATCTTTAGGTTGACACCTGTTTCATGTTGTTTTTTCCTGCCTATTCTACGAAAAGATCTCTCAGCATGAAGTTGGAGCTAAAACCTGCAGCTGCAACTTCACACTGATGCTTCCTCCATATCTCCGCGGAAAATTAGGCAAACGTTTGTTAGTTTTGCGTGCGTATGTCTCATAATTAAAATAATGTATTGGCCAGGCCATTACTTTGTCCCGTCATCCGTTACTTTCCTTTATTCATTGGCATCAGTACAAGGAGTGTAGAGAAACTTGCATTTCTTTTTATATATATGACATAGGATACCCCCCCCCCCTTTCCTCAAAAGAAAAGAAAAATATTCGCTCACACGTTTGAATCTTGACAAATGTTTTCGAGGGTAAACCAATATTTATCTCGTCATTTTCGCAGCCGCCTTAATAAACTCCAATAATTATTCCAACGTCGACTTCTTCCGTACGAGCGCGGAAAATAAAAGTGTAAACTCTTTCCATAAAAAAGAACGCCCGATCGTTCGCAAAATTATGAACTTACAGCGAAGGCTTTCTGTCACCGCACACCCTAATGTTCTCCTGAACATGACCTTCAGTACCTTGGCGATACTGTTTTCGAAAACGAGAACGCTCCTAAATTCTTACCCGTCGCCGTCCATCCTCTGCCAATTTGCAGCCGTTCGAAACGAAGCCATCTCCGCGCTTCCAGCCTTCTCTTCTACGTCCCTGCTTGCCGTCGCCGCTCTCTGCTCCTATATTCGTCAGCTCATGGGCAGGCTGTCACTTAGGGAGACTTAATTAAGGAAGCTGGGGGTTACAGTTAGCAATATTTTGCGTGTATTTTTTTTTTCTTTCCTGCCCACCTTAAATTTTTCTTATACATAATATTTAAGCTAGTCAGTGAGTTATTTCAAGGATCTGATTGCTTAATATCACTTCGCTCTAAATGTCGCTCGAATATGGATGAGGCCAAGCCGGCTACTGTCCAAACTTTTCTTCTGTGTGGTGAGGGCGTGATGACTGGGATGAAATTAAGTCACTCTGCAGCATCGCGAGGACCTACGTCTTAACGCTGATGGGCTTGCACAAGGCGTGAGTTGCGGCTAATTCTAAGTACCACGTTTTCGAGTTTGAGAATTTAGTGAAGAAATATATCGTGAGGGGAGATGACCTTTTAGTCCCATGTTATGAAGCTTACTACTCACCTAAAATTCGAAGAATATTTTAATGTTGCAGTTTCAAGGCTTTCATGCATTTACATTTTTTTTCTCGGTAGTGGTGTGTATTTTGAATACGCAAAACTAAGAAAAAACAAAAATGTTAGCTCAAAATTACGAATACGCAAGGGACACATCATTCGTTGTTTTGTATGATGTTTAAGATTGGTTTTGAGTGAAACATTTGACGGGCGAGCCCCTTGTGTGAGGAATACTAGACCAAACAATTTCCCATGCATATAAAAAGAAAGAAATTTTCGACTGGATCTATTTATAGGTGCATACATGCTCTCATTAAAACTTAGTTTGAAAAGAAATGAGCAGATTACGAAGGTCAAACATTTTGCAGCAGTGCGAATCCGACATGTATTTGACTCAAATACTGTGCTCAGGATATTGTCTTGCAAACACTTTTGGTAGTATTTTGGTATATCGCATATATATTTTATACAAACTGTTTCCTAGTCTATATTAATTCTGTTTGTCAATAGCTAAAACTCATTATCTCCAACTCGTTTGATGCTGCCACCAAACTAAAACACGACAGGCGCCATGTGTATATGGGTTCCCAATGTTCCGCGATTTTTTCGGCACTTAGTATGTTATATATAAAGATATACTTCAAATAAGTTTCGACTGCAGCATCCAAAAAGACCTCTCCACAGTCATAAAGTTCCGCACAGATTATGATTTACAGTGAGGTAATCACAAGAAAAGGATGGGTTCTTTACCATTTTATTTTTCTATAACTATCTCGCAACGTGCTTGCAAAATATTTCAATTACATTTTTAAAATATTTCTACTGTACAATAGTAACGATAAGAGCTATTTTTTTATGATAAATATATTAGTAGAGTAGTTCAATGCTAAAATATAGGAAATAAAGTTTGTGAAACAGTATTGTCGTCCATGCTAAAAAGGGTTATGATTACACGTTTCAATCTTCTTGTCACTTCTCTTGCACTTAGATGCCAGACACTGCTAAAACTTTAACAAAAATTTTAATTTTCAGCACGTTTTTTAGGTTCGTATTTGTTATAGCATGTCTGGTCCGCGCTCTTGGGCGGCCGCCTGTTATTGCTTGACCACCAAGACAGCCAAACACCAGACAGCTGCGGTGATACATACAGCATGTATTTATTCGAAATACACGTTCTTATATAGGCGCAGTGCACAACAACGAAAGCATAAAAAGGGGAGGGGGTGCGATAGTGACTCTTGTTTTATTAAGCTGAGTCAAGTACGGTTTTCAAGATGCAACAGTATTCTCTTTAAAGGTAACCATAACCATCGAATGCATTTCTTGTGTTTTTTTTAATAAACAAAAAAAAGAAAACGAATAGGTAACTTTTATGGAAACTACTTCCAATCTATAACACGTTTAAGCACTGCACACGCAGGTAGTCTGCTGTGTAAACGTTTGTGTAACTGAAATAAACAATCAATGGACGTGGTTGTGTGGGATCAATATCCTAACATAGCAAATAAAAGCGGCGATTTTGTAATATGTTACAGGCGAAGGATAACAGTACAAGAACCTCCTTCAATGCCCAGCATTCTTTGCACTTTAGCCTAGCGAACGGGGAAGAGAGGAGGCAGGTGAAGAAAAAGAAACCACCAATCATTGCAGGGAAGGGTTTGTTGGAGGCGCTTCTGCTATTCATCACCTACTTAACGGACTAGAGAACATATTTTCTGCATCGTGCTCACAGCCGCATCAGCCCAAAACAATTCTTGACTATATCGTATTTAAAATTTCTTGTTCCAAAGAATAAAACAAAACTCCACCAACAATGTTTTCTACGAAACCACCAAATCAAAAGAGGGTTACTAAGAACACCTGTAGTGTCACACTTGCAGTCGAGGTTCTCGTTGGAGCCGATGAATGTAGGTCTATTCGAGAAGGCATTTGTCGTATTTGTATGTAAATGCGGTCTACTATGCAGGAATGGGTGGACGAGTACCTGGTGTGGAACCCTTCTGATTATGGAAACTTGACCAAGCTACGAATTCCCTGCGACAAGATTTGGTTGCCAGACATCGTTCTCTACAACAAGTGAGCGCTGTTTCTTAGTATCTTTCCCTTGCCAAGAAAATCGACTAGAGACAATAGAAGTCGTGCGTAGAGTAACCTCACTTCATATCCTGTCTGTCTTGTGAGTGCCGCCATTTTGGTGCTTAGTGCAGACTGGGAAGAGCGGCGATGGTTGGAGAACAAACATTTTTGCTTTCGTGGACCAGCATATTTCTATACGTATGTTTGATGTTCCATAACATTATTATTTATTTTAATAAATGTAGGCTTGTTTTTCCAAATGTTGGTCCATCTTGGACTCTCGGACGCTTCCTTTTGGACAATGTGTAGCGTATTTTTGCTTGTATAGCGTTCCGCGCCCTTTATTGAAAAGAAGCTCTGTTCTTAGAACGCAGCTCTTAAGCGCACGTTGCCTGGTTTCGCGGCACGCCGCCGCCGTCGGCGTCACCGTTGGCGTAACCGCGCTAAATAAAGCGGGGAAAATGACGTCGCGTGACTTCAACACCATTGAATTTCCCGCTAAACTTAGCGGCGAAACCGACGTCACATAACTTGGTGTCACGTCACCTTTGAGCACATTCATTTTCTCCACTAGATTTAGCTGCAAAATTGACGTCACGTGACCTCAACAGCAATTCAGTTTACCAACTAAATTTAGCGGGGGCAATGACGTTATATGACTTGGCGTAACTCAGCTAAGAACAAATTCAGTTTCTCCGCTAGATTTAGCGGGAAAATTGACGTCGCATGACCTCAACAGCAGTACCTTTCCCGATAAATTTAGCGAAATCGTTGACATCACGTGACCTCAACACAAATTAAGTTTTCCCGCTAAATTTTGAAGGGAAAATGACGTCCCATAACCTGGGATCACGTCACGTATGAAATAATTTAGTTTCTCCGCTAGATTTAGCAGGAAAATTGACGGCAATGGTTTTGCATGACGTAATGATGTTGAGCTCCCATTCTTTCGTGACGGTTCTTCGTAACAGTTTTCCAGACTTCAGCTGATCAGCCGCATTTGGTGTTAAAAAAATTCAGATTGGAAATCTGACAAATAAATGTAATAGAACCACACACGTGGGAGCCCGTACATATTGCTATCCGATGTCGCAGTGCCGACGACTATACCCGGGGTTACTACCAGAGCCGTGCCATGCTCGATCCCGGCGGCAACGTCTTCTGGCCGCCGCCCACAAAGTTCCGGAGCACATGTCCCGTGGACGTCACCTACTTTCCCTTTGACGACCAGACGTGCATCATGAAACTAGGCTCCTGGATCTACGACGGGCTTCAGGTGAGCATCGTCCTCGTTAGAATGACTCAAGTTCTCTAACCAGTTTTGGACGCTTCATAAACTAGTTCAACTACCGTCCTTTTACTAATACCTGCTGTCCCCCAAAGCTGTCTTGCACACGTCATGAACTAGGCCCACTCCATCGACCTCTTGCTGGTAAGGGCCGTCTTCCGAAATAGTCTTCTCCTGGTGGACTAGTCCAGTCATTTTTGTCTTCTTGCTATAAACTTGAGTCCTCCCAAGCAGACATGTACACGCCGTGATCTAGTAAGACTACCTCGTCCTTCTCCTGGTAGCTTTCGTCCTCCAAAGTAGTCTCCTATAACTCGTGGAGCCGCCCAATAAGGTCAGTGCTTACCTTTGTTTTGTATCACTTAAATTCGAACAACAATGTGAAGTTGATTTATTGGATGTACTTGAAAATGAAATATCACCTAGATAGATTTTTTGTGATGAACCTAAATGTCTTCGAGTTTTGTTTTTGCATAGGAGTTTCAAAAAAGCAAGCTCTGAAATGCCACTGGTGGCATACATTGAAATTTTGTATCAGTTTTGTTTCGAGTTCCGTTCCTTAAAAATGGTTGACCCGCTCAAACTAGTATTTTTGTTTACAAGACAAAACAACTACTAAAACCTTTCTTTAACGAGATAGCACGTATTTCTATCATTGTAACTCAAATTTTAAAAGCGCAATTGACCACCTTCGTTCACCACCACCATCGTCCTCTACAATCGCCCATCCCCTGTATTGGTAAAGTTCCCTTAGATTCAGATTAGATTGAAGGGCTCGATATAGTCCGACGTCTTCGGCGCGGCTGCCAGCGGTGGTCGGCGCCAGCAATACTAGCCCCTCCTCTCCAGAGATGCGCCTCTCTCCAGTCCGCAGCTGTCGCTCCCCGGCTCCTTGACTCCGGGTGCTACTGCGCATGCGCGGCGAACCAAGGGTATGTATCGTATTTAAGGCACGAACCCACCACCACTGAGAGCTTGGAGATATAAGCTTTGTGTCGTTTTGTGCTATAGTGTTGATGATATTGCCGCGTTCGCGGCAGAGTTGGCAGCGCACACGGTTTTCACGCGAAGGAAGGGGTTTCGGATCCCCGTTGGACCCTTGTTCTTTTCTTTTATAATGCTGTACTCTTCTGGAAAATTCCAGCACAATTTCGGCTGTCATTGTGCGCTCATGTTCGGAATATTCCTGAGCTGACCACATGTATAAAAGCCGCAGTAACTTGCTGCTTCGGGTCAGTCGCCCTTCTGTCGCAGACGCAAATATATGTTTTATTTATTTTCAGTATGTAGGACTAGGAATGCCGCGAACTTTTTTCGAACCGAAGTTTCGATGATCTAATCAAGCAGTTGGAAAGGTTCGAAAGATTTCGAATTTTCGAACTTTCCATGTCGAGAAATTCGACTGCAGTCGAAGTTTCGAACTTATTAAACTAAGAAGTTCGACGCTTTTCGAATTTTTGACCTTATTACGCAGCAAAGTTCGACTCTTGTCGAACTTTCCAACTCTATAGACGAAAAAATTTGGTGATTTTCGAACTTTCGACCTTCTTGCACTAAAAAGTTCGAAGTTTTTTTTTAACTTTCGAATTTCCTACTCTAAGAAATTCGATAATTTTCGAACTTTCGAACCTATTAATCTAAAGACTTCAAAAATGGTCGAACTTTCGATTCCTGAAAAGTCAAAAGTTCGACGAACTTCGAACTTTTAGGGCAAAAGTTCGAAGTTCGTCGACCTTCGAAAGACCGGAGGGCGGTTTCATTTGAATTGAAGCACTGAGGTACATTCGTAATTTTTTTCGCCATTTTACATGCGGTGCCACATTCCTTGCGAAAGGCAATGCCGTTTATTTCAATCATCTGGCATGCTTGGTTTTGAAGAAATAGATTCCCGAAGGAGCGAGGAAGGACGACGGGTTTTTGACAGTTGTCATTTGTGCCATATTTGAAACGCGCTAGAGCCGAAGCTATTTATGGTAGAGATGTTAAACATTTTAAGAATGATATATGTATAGCCTAGGTCAGTGTCGTCTTAAGGTATGATTATGGTTGCTCAAGACGAGTTTCGAAGAAATATCCAAACATGTACCTACGGGCGATTATGCCCTAAACCTGGTAATTTCTTTCGCCTACATTGTTTTCGGTGTCGCATTTAAATTAACACCAGAGACAGTACATATCATTACCATCTGCAGAATTCAAAATAATGTATTTATTGCTTTTTTCACATTGAGGAAGAAATTAACTCATAGGGAAAGATTTCTAAAATTGTTCAAGTAGCGAACGTCATAAATATTTTTTTCTCATTTTACGTTCTTGGGACGTGTTTCTTTTGGCCTGTACAGATTTTGGTAGGAGAAACTTGTTTTATAGTTCTGGGCCCCTGAATACTATGCAAGAATTACAACACTTCCGGCAGATTCTTGATAGTTTTTTTCTTTCTCTCCAGCTTTTTATTTTTGCATTTATTGTTATGTTTATTTATTGATTAATTTTTACCAATGGCACAGTTATTTAGGTCAAAAAGATATAGCTTTGAACTTCGGAGCCGCCGAGCATGTGACGAGTAGTGCCTTCTGACAACTGTTTCTAACAATTACCATCTACACGATCTTTTATGCAGTGAAGAGTGACAGTAGCTATACATATGCATAAATAATTTCAGATTAAAATAAGCTCGACCATGCCCTCCTTCCCCGTATTGTTTTCTTTAACAGTTCGAAATATCTGGGAGGGGGGGAGAGACTGGAGCCCCCCCTCCCTCCCCTTCCCCCCGTTTTTCCTCTTCCGACGCCACTGGTGTGCTAGAACGCTCCTCGACCTGAAGTTGCGTCAGCTTCTGTGCTTTTTGCTTGGCGTTTCTTTTACCCCAGAAAATAAACCTCCGAAGCAATTACAAACAAAAAAATTGTCAAGGTGCAGGCGAGCTGGTGTATGTTGATCATGATGCAAAATCCCGAGACTGGGAATGAAATTCGAAAAAAATAGTGTAAGAAGAAAGAAAAAGGGGGACAGGACAACGTCTCAAACTCAACTGAGTTGAGTTCGAGACGTTGTACTGAGCTGAGTTTTCAGCTGAGTTGAGTTTGAGACGTTGCCCTGAGCTGAGTTTGAGACGTTGTCCTGTCCCGTTCTTTCTGTCTTCTTACACTTTTTCTTTCAAATTTCAATCCCAATCTCAGGATTTTGCAAGATGTGCAAACTAAACTTACTATATGCCAGCGTCAGTCGGGCGGCGTTCGATCGGATTACTACCAGCGTGCAAGGGGGTAGGGAGGCAGTTTGCCAGATCACTTCAAGGTTTTTCTGGGCCTCAACCACCTGCCTGCCCCTGGCCGTTTCGAACTGGAGGAGTATCGTTAAATAGCGCGTTCGTAGGATCACTACTTCGTGATGCACGTTAATGACCACCCCGGGCTGGCGGTCACAATTACTGATCTATTGTCAGACGTCGCTCTGCACTGGCAAATATTTCAGCACATCCGAGACACTCGTCGTCTAATTTAGTTGCCTGACCAACTTCGGCGCAGTCTAAATATCACACCCGAACTCTTCTAAACTTGATTTAATGAAAACCAGTGAGGCGTGAAAACGTTATTTGAAACTGAAACTGTTACAGAACATGAAAACCGGACTTCGAACTTTGCGCACTTGGACTTCATAAAAAATTTGAAACCTTGAAAGTTTTTTTTTTTCGAATTTAGTCCTAGAAGGGAATCGAAACCTTCGAACTTTTCAAACTTTATGTAGAAAGAAATTCAAAATCTTCGAATTTATCGAACCTTACGTCTTTAATAATTCGAACCGTTCGATTCTTTCGAAATTTAGATCCAAAGAAATTCGAAACATTCGAATTTCTCAAATTTCAAATTAGAAAAGTTCGAAATCTTCGAATTTATCGAACCTCAAGAAAAAAAAATGTTCAAAATAATCGAACCCGAACTTTTAGAAACCGTGAAAGCTTCGAACTTTTCGATTTCGAAACCCTACGATTTTGGAAAGCTGCGATTTTCCGAATTCGAGCCTCCGTACTGTCAAAAATATCGAAACCTTTCGAATTCGAACCTAGGGTGGTTCCCGGCATCCCCATGTAGGACCAAGTTCGCCCATAAAGGTTTATTTTTAGTTTTACGATTTTCTTCAATTTTAGTATGTGACAATATGTCCATGACAAAATGATGCATTGCATAAAATTTAATTAACGCCAAAAATGTGATGCATCCAAGTCATATTCTGTGAAAAATCCAGTCATCATTTTTGTGTCTCTTATTGATTGCTCGCGTGATTTATAATTACGGCTTAAAGGAATACATTTATTGGTTGACCTTTTTGTCGTACTCTTAGTACGCCTACTCAAAGTAAGTTCAACTATCGCTTTAATTGTTGTGTCTTACCCTCCGATTCCGGTATCCAGGCTTCAGCAACATCCCTAAGGGTCTTTTCAATAACTTGGGCCTCATAAGGTGTTTCTCCAATGCGTTCGTTCGGCCGAAAATACTTTACTTCGGTCCTTACTAGCTAGGATGCTGCAAAGTCCGTATTTTTTCATGCTCACCAGAGGCGCGCCAAAGTGATATGCGTGAGCCAGATGTTCGAGGTCAGCAAGTCGGTACTTATATTGTCACGAATGAAGGTGACGAAAAGCCGAACAGTGAACTGAAAATAAAGATTTAATGGGCGAACTTGTGCCAACCAAAAATAAGTAACGAAAGAGCGTCGGAGCAGCAGAAAAGCAGGCGGCGATTCGGCGGCGAATCAGAAAGCGCGAGCGAGACTGCGACTGACTCGACAAGGTCGCGGGAGCCGCTTATCTACCCTGCGTCACTATCTCGAAAGTTCGGCAAAGAAGGTTCGAGCGTCGCGCGCTCGGGGCGAGGATGAACTGGCACTTTCGAGAATAACTAAGCAGAAGGAAAGTTACGTCTGCTGCGAGAATGACAGGGAATCTTCTAGAAGACCGTGACCGAGCGTTGCCTTCTCGGCTCTGCGGG